GACCATCTGACCCCACACCTGTAGACCATCTGACCACACCTGTAGGCCATCTGACCCCACACCTTCTGGCCATCTGACCCCACACCTGTAGGCCATCTGACCCCACACCTGTAGACCATCTGACCCCACACCTGTAGACCATCTGACCACACCTGTAGGCCATCTGACCCCACACCTTCTGGCCATCTGACCCCACACCTTCTGGCCATCTGACCCCACACCTGTAGGCCATCTGACCCCACACCTTTAGGCCATCTGACCACACCTGTAGACCATCTGACCCCACACCTGTAGACCATCTGACCACACCTGTAGGCCATCTGACCCCACACCTTCTGGCCATCTGACCCCACACCTGTAGGCCATCTGACCCCACACCTGTAGGCCATCTGACCCCACACCTTCTGGCCATCTGAACCCACACCTGTAGACCATCTGACCCCACACCTGTAGACCATCTGACCACACCTGTAGGCCATCTGACCCCACACCTTCTGGCCATCTGAACCCACACCTGTAGGCCATCTGACCCCACACCTTCTGGCCATCTGAACCCACACCTGTAGACCATCTGACCCCACACCTGTAGACCATCTGACCCCACACCTGTAGGCCATCTGACCCCACACCTGTAGACCATCTGAACCCACACCTTCTGGCCATCTGACCCCACACCTGTAGGCCATCTGACCCCACACCTGTAGGCCATCTGACCCCACACCTTCTGGTCATCTGAACCCACACCTTCTGGCCATTTGACCCCACACCTGTAGGCCATCTGAACCCACACCTGTAGACCATCTGACCCCACACCTGTAGACCATCTGACCACACCTGTAGACCATCTGACCACACCTGTAGGCCATCTGACCCCACACCTGTAGACCATCTGACCTCACACCTGTAGACCATCTGACCCCACACCTTTAGGCCATCTGACCACACCTGTAGACCATCTGACCACACCTTTAGGCCATCTGACCCCACACCTGTAGGCCATCTGACCCCACACCTGTAGACCATCTGACCCCACACCTGTAAGCCATCTGACCACACCTGTAGACCATCTGACCACACCTGTAGGCCATCTGACCCCACACCTGTAGACCATCTGACCCCACACCTGTAAGCCATCTGACCACACCTGTAGACCATCTGACCCCACACCTGTAGGCCATCTGAACCCACACCTTCTGGCCATCTGAACCCACACCTGTAGGCCATCTGACCCCATATATGTAGGCCATCTGACCACACCTGTAGACCATCTGACCCCATATATGTAGGCCATCTGACCACACCTGTAGACCATCTGACCCCACACCTGTAGGCAATCTGACCACACACCTGTAGGCCATCTGACCACACCTGTAGACCATTTGACCCCACAACTGTAAGCCATCTGACCACACCTGTAGACCATTTGACCCCACACCTGTAGGCCATCTGACCCCACACCTGTAGGCCATCTGACCACACCTGTTGGCCATCTGACCCCACACCTGTAGGCCATCTGACCACACCTGTAGACCATCTGACCCCACACCTGTAGGCCATCTGACCCCACACCTGTAGGCCATCTGAATCCACACCTTCTGGCCATCTGAACCCACACCCGTAGGCCATCTGACCCCACACCTGTAAGCCATCTGACCACACCTGTAGACCATCTGACCCCACACCTGTAGGCCATCTGACCCCACACCTGTAGGCCATCTGACCACACCTGTAGGCCATCTGACCACACCTGTAGGCCATCTGACCACACCTGTAGACCATCTGACCACACACCTGAAGGCCATCTGACCCCACCTTCTGGCCATCTGACCCCACACCTGTAGGCCATCTGAACCCACACCTGTAGACCATCTGACCCCACACCTGTAGGCCATCTGACCCCACACCTGTAGGCCATCTGACCCCACACCTGAAGGCCATCTGACCCCACCTTCTGGCCATCTGACCCCACACCTTCTGGCCATCTGAACCCACACCTATAGACCATCTGACCCCACACCTGTAGACCATCTGACCACACATGTAGGCCATCTGACCCCACACCTTCTGGCCATCTGAACCCACACCTGTAGGCCATCTGACCCCACACCTTCTGGCCATCTGAACCCACACCTGTAGACCATCTGACCCCACACCTGTAGACCATCTGACCACACCTGTAGGCCATCTGACCCCACACCTGTAGACCATCTGACCACACCTGTAGACCATCTGACCACACACCTGAAGGCCATCTGACCCCACCTTCTGGCCATCTGACCCCACACCTGTAGGCCATCTGAACCCACACCTGTAGACCATATGACCCCACACCTGTAGGCCATCTGACCCCACACCTGTAGGCCATCTGACCCCACACCTGAAGGCCATCTGACCCCACCTTCTGGCCATCTGACCCCACACCTTCTGGCCATCTGAACCCACACCTATAGACCATCTGACCCCACACCTGTAGACCATCTGACCACACCTGTAGGCCATCTGACCCCACACCTTCTGGCCATCTGAACCCACACCTGTAGGCCATCTGACCCCACACCTTCTGGCCATCTGAACCCACACCTGTAGACCATCTGACCCCACACCTGTAGACCATCTGACCCCACACCTGTAGACCATCTGACCCCACACCTGTAGACCATCTGAACCCACACCTGTAGACCATCTGACCCCACACCTGTAGACCATCTGACCCCACACCTGTAGACCATCTGACCCCACACCTGTAGACCATCTGACCCCACACCTGTAGACCATCTGACCCCACACCTGTAGACCATCTGACCCCACACCTGTAGACCATCTGACCCCACACTTGTAGACCATCTGACCCCACACCTTTAGGCCATCTGACCACACCTGTAGACCATCTGACCACACCTGTAGGCCATCTGACCACACCTTCTGGCCATCTGAACCCACACCTGTAGGCCATCTGAACCCACACCTGTAGACCATCTGACCCCACACCTGTAGGCCATCTGACCCCACACCTTCTGGCCATCTGAACCCACACCTTCTGGCCATCTGACCCCACACCTGTAGGCCATCTGACCCCACACCTGTAGGCCATCTGACCCCACACCTTCTGGTCATCTGAACCCACACCTTCTGGCCATTTGACCCCACACCTGTAGGCCATCTGAACCCACACCTGTAGACCATCTGACCCCACACCTGTAGACCATCTGACCACACCTGTAGACCATCTGACCACACCTGTAGGCCATCTGACCCCACACCTGTAGACCATCTGACCTCACACCTGTAGACCATCTGACCCCAAACCTTTAGGCCATCTGACCACACCTGTAGACCATCTGACCACACCTGTAGGCCATCTGACCACACCTTCTGGCCATCTGACCCCACACCTGTAGACCATCTGACCCCACACCTGTAGGCCATCTGACCACACCTGTAGACCATCTGACCACACCTGTAGGCCATCTGACCACACCTTCTGGCCATCTGACCCCACACCTGTAGACCATCTGACCCCAAACCTTTAGGCCATCTGACCACACCTGTAGACCATCTGACCACACCTGTAGGCCATCTGACCACACCTTCTGGCCATCTGACCCCACACCTGTAGACCATCTGACCCCAAACCTTTAGGCCATCTGACCACACCTGTAGACCATCTGACCACACCTGTAGGCCATCTGACCACACCTTCTGGCCATCTGACCCCACACCTGTAGACCATCTGACCCCACACCTGTAGACCATCTGACCCCACACCTGTAGTCCATCTGACCCCACACCTTTAGGCCATCTGACCACACCTGTAGACCATCTGACCACACCTGTAGGCCATCTGACCACACCTTCTGGCCATCTGACCCCACACCTGTAGACCATCTGACCCCATACCTGTAGGCCATCTGAACCCACACCTGTAGACCATATGACCCCACACCTGTGGGCCATCTGACCCCACACCTGTAGGTCATCTGACCACACCTGTAGGCCATCTGACCCCACACCTGTAGGCCATCTGACCCCACACCTGTAGGCCATCTGACCCCACACCTGTAGGCCATCTGACCACACACCTGAAGGCCATCTGACCCCACACCTTTAGGCCATCTGACCACACCTGTAGACCATCTGACCACACCTGAAGACCATCTGACCCCACTTGTAGGCCATCTGACCCCACACCTGTAGGCCATCTGACCCCACACCTTCTGGCCATCTGAACCCACACCTTCTGGCCATCTGACCCCACACCTGTAGACCATCTGACCCCACACCTGTAGGCCATCTGACCACACCTGTAGGCCATCTGACCTCACACTTGTAGGCCATCTGACCCACACCTATAGGCCATCTGACCACACCTGTAGACCATCTGACCCCACCTGTAGACCATCTGACCCCACACCTGTAGACCATCTGACCCCACACCTTTAGGCCATCTGACCACACCTGTAGACCATCTGACCACACCTGAAGACCATCTGACCCCACCTGTAGGCCATCTGACCACACCTGTAGACCATCTGACCCCACACCTGCAGGCCATCTGTCCCAATACCTGTAGACATTGACCCCAGCCATCTGACCCTACACCTGCATACCATATGACTTCACGCCCAATAGCCATACAGCTTGTAGCCCCACATACACGTACTGCGCATGACAGGTTGCCCCCCTCTGGTACAACCAACTTCGTCACAGTTCATTGGGTGTCGTCAGGCGAGACGTCATGACGTCACGGTTCATTGGGTCTCGTCAGGCGAGACGTCACAGTCACGTGAACAACGACCGGAAATAACTTCCGTCAGTTTCAACAAACATAGATCGAACAATTTGAAACAAATCTTTTTAATCTGAACCTTATAGTTGTCGCTCCATAATTACCGACCCCATGCATCGTAGACTGGACGTACAGAACAGGTGCAATATAAATGTAACAGGCTGTACTAAGTTCATTTAATTTTTTTATTTCAAATAGAATAGAAATTTAAAAATGATTTTTCAATACAATATAGAATAGAAAATTTGATATAAATGAAAATAAAATTTTACGGAATGATAATCCCTAAATGAAAATGTCTGTAGTGAAATGTCATTGTCGTAGACAAATGTCACTACAAAGATAAATGTCATAATAAGAGTCAAAGTTCACTGCCAAAGTCCATTTTCAGCGCAATATTCAAATGTCAACCCCATTGTCAAATGTCACTACCCTGATGTCACTGCCGTGGCCAAATGCCAAATGCCACAACCGTGGTCAAATGTCACTACCCCTCTCACTATACGCCATCTGAGAGCTGTCCAAGATTGCATAATGCTGGTGAATGCGTGTACGAATTGTACACATAATGTACAGTTGTACAAAGTACACACAATGAACACAAAGTACACATGTAAAACAGTTGCACCGCATACAGACACAACATACAGAGAGACAGACACAACATACAGAGAGACAGACACAACATACAGAGAGACAGACACAACATACACGGAACATTCAAGCAATACTGAAATGTAATGGCGATGTTTGATGACATGAATGATTTAAAATGTGACACCCCAGCCGTGACACCCCAGCCGTGACACCCCAGCCGTGACACCCCAGCCGTGACACCCCAGCCGTGACACCCCAGCCGTGACACCCCAGCCAGTGAGACGTCTAGTAGCTGCTGTAGTCGTTGTTGAACTCGGCGCTGCCGCTGAGGTCGAAGTCCCCGCCCGACATGTGGTTGAAGAAGCTGCCGACGTCCTCCATCGTGACCGTGACGTCACTGATGTAGTGTAGGACGTCCTCCTCACCCCCCAGCCCCTCCCCCGCGGGGTCGGTGTCAGCCACGTAAGGCACATTGTTGTTGACGTCATAGACTGGAGCCCCGCCCACAAAGACGTCATCCATGTCCAGGTCTGGCACCTCCACGGAGCGGAACTCCTGCTGGAGACTCGTGGCGTCGTCATGGTAACTGCCGTCTGACGAGGTGCTCGCGTTGCGGAAGTCACGTGACAGATCACGTGATGTCGCTGTGGGTGGATCCAGAAGGAAGTTTGAGTCAGGTGTGTAAGATTCTGGGGTCAAGGTCAGGAGGGTGTGTGAGTTCAGGAGCTGGCACAGCTTTGGGTAGCTGGGCTTGTCTGCTGACAGCTGTAAGTAGCTGGGCTTGTCTGGTGAGAGCTGGCACAGCTGTGGGTAGCTGGGCTTGCCCGTGTCAGTCAATAGAACGGCCGATGGGCCCTGAACATCTGGGCAGATCTGCGTGACGCTGCTGGCAAACACTGGACGTTTGCCACCCGAAGACCTGTGGTCGGCACAAGATGGCGGGTAGTCTTTTGGGGGGAACAGTTCGTTGGGCTCTACCTGAGGCGGGGCGGGTGTTGGATGCTGGATGATGGATTTCTTAGGCTGGATGTTGGATGTCTGTTGATGGGCGCTGGATGTCTGTTGCTGGATGTTGGATGCCAGGTGCTGGATGGATTGAACTAAGGCTGCTGGGTAACCAGAGGATGACTCGGTATCTGGTGGAGCGTGGATGGTCTGTGGATTGTGGTCGTGGATGGTCTGTGGATTGTGGTCGTGGATGGTCTGTGGATTGTGGTCGTGGATGGTCTGTGGATTGTGGTCGTGGATGAATGACATTTGTTTCAGTGACGTCAGCTGGTGACTTTGCGGGACGTTGGCGGCCATTTTGTTCTGACAGGTGCAGGTGTTTAGCAGGGCCTGCAGGACCTTCTGCAGGCCGTCACGTTCCTGCCGCAGGGTGGCCACTTCCTGTCGCAGCTCCACGTTGTGCTGGAAGATGTTCTCAAAGTTCTAGGGAAGACAACAAAAGCAGAACATGGAACTTTCGAGGGACAAAAGTAGAACATGGAACATTCGACGGACAAAAGTAGAACATGGAACATTCGATGGACAAAAGTAGATCATGGAACATTTGGATGAATTAGTATACGCCAGCTATGTAGGACAGCCATGACATGACGTATGTAGGACAGTCATGACATGACGTATGTAAGACATAACGTATGTAGGACATGACGTATGTAGGACATGACGTATTTAAGGACATGACGCATGTAGGACATTACGCATGTAAGACATGACGCATGTAGGACATGACGTATGTAGGACATGACGTATGTAGGACATGACGTATGTAGGACATGACGCATGTAGGACATGACGTATGTAGGATATGACGTATGTAGGACATGACGTATATAGGACATGACGTACGTAAGACATGACGTACGTAGGACAGCAATATACAAGCCTGACCTGAATGACACTGAACTGGTTCATTCTTTTCTTTGTCCGACATCGCTGAGCCGCCCGTCTGTTCTGTTCTCTCCGTCTCTCTCTCTTCTCTCTCTCCTCAGGGCTCATCTGTCACGGGCAAATATGACACATCAGTCGCAGGGCAAATATGACACATCAGTCGCAGGGCAAATATGACACATCAGTCGCAGGGCAAATATGACACATCAGTCGCAGGGCAAATATGACACATCAGCCGCAGGGCAAATATGACACATCAGTCGCAGGGCAAATATGACACATCAGTCGCAGGGCAAATATGACACATCAGACACAGGGCAAATATGACACATCAGACACAGGGCAAATATGACACATCAGTCGCAGGACAAATATGACACATCAGTCACAGGGCAAATATGACACATCAGTCGCAGGGCAAATATGACACATCAGTCGCAGGGCAAATATGACACATCAGTCGCAGGGCAAATATGACACATCAGACACAGGGCAAATATGACACATCAGTCGCAGGGCAAATATGACATATCAGTCATCAGTCACTTCCACAATTAACTAAATGACAACTTCAAACACACAACTGACTAACCGACCACTTCCACCCATCACTAACTGACTAACTGACCACTTCCATCCACCACTGACTAACTGACCACTTCCATCCATCACTGACTAAGTGACCACTTCCACCCATCACTGACTAACTGACCACTTCCACCCACCACTGACTAACTGACCACTTCCACCCACCACTGACTGACTAACTGACCACTTCCATCCACCACTGACTAACTGACCACTTCCACCCACCACTGACTAACTGACCACTTCCACCCACCACTGACTAACTGACCACTTCCATCCACCACTGACTAACTGACCACTTCCACCCACCACTGACTAACTGACCACTTCCACCTTTCACTGACTAACTGACCACTTCCACCACCACTGACTAACTGACCACTTCCACCCACCACTGACTAACTGACTAACTGACCACTTCCATCCATCACTGACTAACTGACTAACTGACCACTTCCACCCACCACTGACTAACTGACTAACTGACCACTTCCACCCACCACTGACTAACTGACTAACTGACCACTTCCACCCATCACTGACTAACTGACTAACTGACCACTTCCATCCACCACTGACTAACTGACCACTTCCATCCATCACTGACTAACTGACCACTTCCACCCACCACTGACTAACTGACCACTTCCACCCACCACTGACTAACTGACTAACTGACCACTTCCATCCACCACTGACTAACTGACCACTTCCATCCATCACTGACTAACTGACCACTTCCACCCACCACTGACTAACTGACTAACTGACCACTTCCATCCACCACTGACTAACTGACCACTTCCATCCACCACTGACTAACTGACCACTTCCATCCATCACTGACTAACTGACCACTTCCATCCATCACTGACTAACTGACCACTTCCACCCACCACTGACTAACTGACCACTTCCATCCATCACTGACTAACTGACCACTTCCACCCACCACTGACTAACTGACCACTTCCACCCACCACTGACTAACTGACCACTTCCATCCATCACTGACTAACTGACCACTTCCATCCATCACTGACTAACTGACCACTTCCACCCACCACTGACTAACTGACTAACTGACCACTTCCATCCACCACTGACTAACTGACCACTTCCATCCATCACTGACTAACTGACCACTTCCATCCATCACTGACTAACTGACCACTTCCACCCACCACTGACTAACTGACTAACTGACCACTTCCATCCACCACTGACTAACTGACCACTTCCATCCACCACTGACTAACTGACCACTTCCATCCATCACTGACTAACTGACCACTTCCATCCATCACTGACTAACTGACCACTTCCACCCACCACTGACTAACTGACCACTTCCACCCACCACTGACTAACTGACTAACTGACCACTTCCATCCATCACTGACTAACTGACCACTTCCACCCACCACTGACTAACTGACCACTTCCACCCACCACTGACTAACTGACCACTTCCACCCACCACTGACTAACTGACTAACTGACCACTTCCATCCATCACTGACTAACTGACCACTTCCACCCACCACTGACTAACTGACCACTTCCACCCACCACTGACTAACTGACCACTTCCACCCACCACTGACTAACTGACCACTTCCATCCATCACTGACTAATTGACCACTTCCACCCACCACTGAAGTTAAACAGTCTTACCTCCACCGGTTCTTGCCGGTTAAATTCCGGCTTAATATCAGCCAACCCCTGCGCTCGTCTCTTGGCCATTATAGAACAGCGCAGACCGGACTTGAGGTCAACTCGACTTCCGGGGCTTGCGCTCATTGGTCAGTTTTGTTTCCCCGACTTTTCTGGAATCAAAAGTAAACATTGATCGATTTGATTGTATTCGATTACAAACATGAGAACCTGTTGACGTTCTGGCACAAAGTCCTTGTCATGGGAGTCATGGGATGAGCTAGGCGTCATGGGATGAGCTAGGCGTCATGGGATGAGTTAGGCGTCATGGGATGGGCTAGGCGTCATGGGAGGAACTAGGCGTCATGGGATGAGCTAGGCGTCATGGGATGAGCTAGGCGTCATGGTAGGAACTTGGCGTCATGGGATGAGCTAGACGTAGTGGGAGGAGCTAGGCGTCATGGGATGAGCTAGACGTAGTGGGAGGAGCTAGGCGTCATGGGAGTCATAAGAGGAACTGGACAGTCACTCGAAAAAGTATTCCCTCCTCAACTTCCTCTTCTACTGAGTACACCTCGCCTCCCAGCCCTCCCCCTCCACCCCTTTCTCCCCAAGTATTTGAAAGCCCAAACTGAAACGGTTTTGCTGTGTTCGATTGTTTTTTACAAGCTTTTATTTAACTCACTTCCTCGTCAGTCTGTCGTCAGTCTCCAACTGACCGATACGGTTCGTAGTTGGTACGTGGGTCAAGACATGAAGACAATGCATCATGACATTCAATTTGACTTAATTTGTTGCCTAATTAATTTTTTTATGAATTAATTAAAATTTTGACCAAATTATCCAACTACTCCGCTCTATTAGACACGCGTCATCATGTTCATTAGGGCGCAGAGTTTCTTCCAGGCATCTCTTCGAAAATTTTTTACCGCCCCTCGAACGAAATGAAATTTATATAATTTATATAGAAAATATATACTTTTAACAGTGTCCGCCCCCCCGAAGAAAGTTTACCGCCCCCCCGAAGATTTCAAGTGCCCCCCCGGAGAAAAAAGTCTGGAAGAAACACTGTTAGGGCGTCATCACGTTCAATAGGTGCGCAATGGTTTTTAGTCATGTAACTCCATTTTAAATAAAATATATAAAGTACTACAAAAAATGGCATTAAAAAAAACGCTGTAATAACAAAGGAGAAGCTAAAATGGAGAAACAAAAATTATAGACTACTATTTAAATAACTATAAAGAAAAGCGTGGGTCTCTTCCTAAACATTAGTAAAGGTGTCCAATAGATACTAAAAAGGCCCACGCTTTTCTTTATAGTTATTTAAATAGTAGTCTATAATTTATTTTCTCCCTTTTAGTGCATTATTACGCAAAAGCTTGTTATTAAAGCTTTTTTTAAATGAAATTTGGTTTTTAACCATTGCATTTTAAATCTCTCTTAAAATTAACTACTGAATAAACTTAATAAACTCAATTATAATTGAGGAAATAAACAAATTCAAAATGGTTTAGTGCCTTCGCTTTGAAAGTTATCTTGATCTTTTGTCCAAGAGATAAACAACAGTAATAATAAATGTGAATGGCCAATTACTATTGGCAGGAGCGATATTTTTTTGGTCAACGCTACACAATCAGTAGCTGGTCAACGCTACACACAATCATTAGCTGGTCAACGCTACACACAATCAGTAGCTGGTCAACGCTACACACAATCAGTAGCTGGTCAACGCTACACACAATCAGTAGCTGGTCAACGCTACACACAATCAGTAGCTGGTCAACGCTACACAATCAGTAGCTGGTCAACGCTACACAACTCAATCAGTAGCTGGTCAACGCTACACAACTCAATCAGTAGCTGGTCAACGCTACACAATCAGTAGCTGGTCAATGCTACACAACTCAATCAGTAGCTGGTCAACTCTACACAACTCAATCAGTAGCTGGTCAACGCTACACACAATCAGTAGCTGGTCAACGCTACACACTATCAGTAGTTGGTCAACTCTATACACAATCAGTAGCTGGTCAACGCTACACACTATCAGTAGTTGGTCAACGCTATACACAATCATTAGCTGGTCAACGCTACACACAATCATTAGCTGGTCAACGCTACACACAATCATTAGCTGGTCAACGCTACACACAATCAGTAGCTGGTCAACGCTACACACAATCAGTAGCTGGTCAACGCTACACACAATCAGTAGCTGGTCAACGCTACACACAATCAGTAGCTGGTCAATGCTACACAACTCAATCAGTAGCTGGTCAACGCTACACACAATTAGTAGCTGGTCAACGCTACACACTATCAGTAGTTGGTCAACGCTACACACAATCAGTAGCTGGTCAACGCTACACACAATCAGATGGTCAACGCTACACAATCAGTAGGTGGTCAACGCTACACACAATCATTAGCTGGTCAACGCTACACAATCAGTAGCTGGTCAATGCTACACAACTCAATCAGTAGCGGGTGAACGCTACACACAATCAGTAGCTGGTCAACGCGACACAATCAGTAGCTGGTCAACGCTACACAACTCAATCAGTAGCTGGTCAACGCTACACACAATTAGTAGTTGGTCAACGCTATACACAATCAGTAGCTGGTCAACGCTACACACTATCAGTAGTTGGTCAACGCTATACACAATCATTAGCTGGTCAACGCTACACACAATCATTAGCTGGTCAACGCTACACACAATCATTAGCTGGTCAACGCTACACACAATCAGTAGCTGGTCAACGCTACACACAATCAGTAGCTGGTCAACGCTACACACAATCAGTAGCTGGTCAACGCTACACACAATCAGTAGCTGGTCAATGCTACACAACTCAATCAGTAGCTGGTCAACGCTACACACAATTAGTAGCTGGTCAACGCTACACACTATCAGTAGTTGGTCAACGCTACACACAATCAGTAGCTGGTCAACGCTACACACAATCAGATGGTCAACGCTACACAATCAGTAGGTGGTCAACGCTACACACAATCATTAGCTGGTCAACGCTACACAATCAGTAGCTGGTCAATGCTACACAACTCAATCAGTAGCGGGTGAACGCTACACACAATCAGTAGCTGGTCAACGCGACACAATCAGTAGCTGGTCAACGCTACACAACTCAATCAGTAGCTGGTCAACGCTACACACAATTAGTAGCTGGTCAACGCTACACACAATCATTAGCTGGTCAACGCTACACACAATCAGATGGTCAACGCTACACACAATCAGTAGCTGGTCAACGCTACACACAATCAGTAGCTGGTCAACGCTACACACTATCAGTAGCTGGTCAACGCTACACACAATCAGTAGTTGGTCAACGCTACACACAATCAGTAGGTGGTCAACGCTACACACAATCAGTAGCTGGTCAACGCTACACACAATCAGTAGCTGGTCAACGCTACACACAATCAGTAGCTGGTCAACGCCAGGGGCGTAGCGAGGGGGGGGGGGGCGGGGGTGCGGACCGCACCGGGTGACACCATTTAGGGGGGTGACACCAAGGCATAAAAAAGCAAAATATATAGAGAAAAACTCGAGGGGGGGGGGGTGCAAATCGAAAACTTGAGGGGGGGGGGGGGTGCAAATCGAAAATTTGAAAGTTTGTCCCTGGGAAGGGTCTCTATGCCTCTGGGGGGGGGGGGGGTGACACCATTAAGTGCCGCACCGGGTGACACCCGACCTCGCTACGCCACTGGTCAACGCTACACAATCAGTAGCTGGTCAATGCTACACAACTCAATCAGTAGCGGGTCAACGCTACACACAATCAGTAGCTGGTCAACGCTACACAATCAGTAGCTGGTCAATGCTACACAACTCAATCAGTAGCTGGTCAACGCTACACAACTCAATCAGTAGCTGGTCAACGCTAAACACAATCATTAGCTGGTCAACGCTATACACAATCATTAGCTGGTCAACGCTACACACAATCATTAGCTGGTAAACGCTACACAACTCAATCAGTAGCTGGTCAACGCTACACACAATGAGTAGCTGGTCAACGCTACACACAATCAGTAGCTGGTCAACGCTACACAATCAGTAGCTGGTCAATGCTACACAACTCAATCAGTAGCGGGTCAACGCTACACACAATCAGTAGCTGGTCAACGCTACACAATCAGTAGCTGGTCAACGCTACACAACTCAATCAGTAGCTGGTCAACGCTACACACTATCAGTAGTTGGTCAACGCTACACACAATCAGTAGCTGGTCAACGCTACACACAATCAGTAGCTGGTCAACGCTACACAACTCAATCAGTAGCTGGTCAACGCTACACACAATCAGTAGCTGGTCAACGCTACACAACTCAATCAGTAGCTGGTCAACGCTACACACAATCAGTAGCTGGTCAACGCTACACAACTCAATCAGTAGCTGGTCAACGCTACACACAATTAGTAGCTGGTCAACGCTACACACAATCATTAGCTGGTCAACGCTACACACTATCAGTAGTTGGTCAACGCTACACAATCAGCAGCTGGTCAACGCTACACACTATCAGTAGTTGGTCAACGCTACACACAATCAGTAGGTGGTCAACGCTACACACAATCAGTAGCTGGTCAACGCTACACACAATCAGTAGCTGATCAACGCTACACACAATCATTAGCTGGTCAACGCTACACACAATCAGTAGCTGGTCAACGCTACACACAATCATTAGCTGGTCAACGCTACACACAATCAGTAGCTGATCAACGCTACACACAATCATTAGCTGATCAACGCTACACACAATCAGTAGCTGGTCAACGCTACACACAATCAGTAGCTGGTCAACGCCAGGGGCGTAGCGAGGGGGGGGGGGGCGGGGGGTGCGGACCGCACCGGGTGACACCATTTAGGGGGGTGACACCAAGGCATAAAAAAGCAAAATATATAGAGAAAAACTCGAGGGGGGGGGGGGTGCAAATCGAAAACTTGAGGGGGGGTGCAAATCGAAAATTTGAAAGTTTGTCCATGGGAAGGGTCTCTATGCCTCTGGGGGGGGGGGGGGGGTGACACCATTAAGTGCCGCACCGGGTGACACCCGACCTCGCTACGCCACTGGTCAACGCTACACAATCAGTAGCTGGTCAATGCTACACAACTCAATCAGTAGCGGGTCAACGCTACACACAATCAGTAGCTGGTCAACGCTACACAATCAGTAGCTGGTCAATGCTACACAACTCAATCAGTAGCTGGACAACGCTACACACAATCATTAGCTGGTCAACGCTACACACAATCATTAGCTGGTCAACGCTACACACAATCATTAGCTGGTCAACGCTACACACAATCATTAGCTGGTAAACGCTACACAACTCAATCAGTAGCTGATCAACGCTACACACAATGAGTAGCTGGTCAACGCTACACACAATCAGTAGCTGGTCAACGCTATACACAATCATTAGCTGGTCAACGCTACACAATCAGTAGCTGGTCAACGCTACACACAATCACTAGCTGGTCAACGCTACACACACCTCTAAAATAATAGTTATATTTAAAAAAAATTAAGCTGTTTGAGAAACATCGATTTCACTTTTTTTTTCTTCTTTTTTTTTCTTTTTTGTATTTAATATAAGCCGTTGAAAAGCCGTTTAGAATTATTTTATCAACTCAAATATTAAAAAATTACCGCTTTAACCTTGAAGTTTATTTAGATTGAACACTATAACATCCCCTATCACCACAACACACTGACTCTACCAATACAAATTTAACAAAAAAGTGTTAGCTAAATTACTATTATATTACCTGTAATTAGCTGTTGAATATTTCTAGCCTTAATAAAACCGGAAGTTATTTTGTAATTATTTCACAAATGTTATAAAAGATTCAATTTTGGTTGAAAGATATAATCTCTGGCAACAAGCATTTGGAACCAACTTTTCAAGCTTATTGTGTTAATTGTGTTATGTTGTGCCATTTATGTGATACTAAAGATAATTGTGTTGGGTATGTTATGTTGTGAGTCTGTTCACTACTGAAGTAATTATCATCGTTTCTCTCTGACGATGAATTTTTAACAACACTAAAACAAACTTTCTGACAATCGAAATGTATCAATGGTGTCGTTAGTCACGTGCAATCAATCACATAAAGTCGAGACATTGAACCGGCTCGTACACCCACGTCTGCGATAGAATCTTCTAGATTCCACAGCACGTGGTAAAACCAGCTGATAAAAAGCGGATGAACGTAACGGATTCAAGAATTGTTCCGGTGATTTGTTTAGAGGCAGTCTAGCCCGTGGCTCTTGTCGTGTCAGTTGTGACTGATGTGTCACTTGTCGCACAACACTATAACGTCGCTGTCACGGCATGGATATAAGCAGTACCAGTATACAACTCAGGGGGAACTCACTCTTGGCGTGTAGCCTCTACAGTTGAATCTCAGTTACCCCCTGGGTACCCCATTGGTCAACCAACACCTTGTAAACCACCATCTCAATTACCCCAAGGTCAACGGATCTTTATGGGATGAGTGTCTTCATAGTATCGATGTCTTAATGGAATCGATATATTGATTGAACGATACCTTTGTGAGGACGACTGTGATTTCTTTATTTACATCAGTTTAGCCTATAATTTAAATATATACCACATACGCGTACATGTATGTGTATAAGCTTTTATCACTGCCGACTAAAGAGTAAATATCTTTATCTTTAGTCTGTTAATATAGTTGGATGTAGCATTGTTTTCTCTATAGTTAGCGCGTTTATGTCATGCTGTCACCCCACCCCTTTTAATAAAGGCTACTTAAGTAAAATTAATCATTAATGGAACTGGTAAAAAAGCATTTTTCTTCATAACATTTTGCAATTTTTTTGCCTTGGTGTCACCCCCTAAATAGTGTCACCCGCTGCGGTCCGCCCCCCGCCCAACCCTCGCTACGCCTCTGCGTAAAAAAACATGCAGCTTTTTCTTACGCTGGCCTTTATGCCTCTACAAGCTGGACAAAAGATCGGCCTTCAGTCCTTTACAACGTAGACAGAAGATCGGCCTATTCACCAAATACAAAAAGTCCAACACACATCATTGCCGCTGACCAACACACGTCATTGCCGCTGACCAATGTCCATCTAACGACGTGTCACGCATTATCGAGCTCTAGCACCAGATAAGTTTAATTTTCCGGCTAATTAGACGACACACGATCTTGACCTGACCAGCGGTCATTTGACCAGCCGTCAGGCCAATGACCTGAATGTGTTAATGCCTGGCCCGGACTGACCCAGAAAAGCCACGGGAGAGAATCGCGCTAATCGCTCAGACAGGGGCACAACTCTACCACTCTACGGCCGACCCAACAAGGGAAACAACTGATCATTTCTTGCTATCAGCAGCTACGCTAGTGACTATAATAAGTTATTTATAGACCGCACAAGGACGGGGAGGGGTATTAGTTGAAGTAGGGTTGGGGAGGGGGGGGGGGGTGTGGGGGAGAGAGCGAGAGAGAAAAGGTGAGTAGCCATGAGAAAAAAAAAATTTCATTTTTTTCCCTTGCTATTGAACTCATAGACTGGTAGATCTAGATCTACGTTGTGTAAACTATGTCGTCATCTATGGGAGTGATTCATGGACACATGGGTGGGGGGGGGGGGGTCCTAATGAATAATCATGTAAAAAAGGTGCACCCCACCACATATAGCTGTATGTTGGCCTAAAGAACTGACCACTGGCCTAAAGACTCGACCACATATAGCTGTATGTTGGTCTAAAGACCCGACCACATATAGCTGTATGTTGACCTAAAGACCCGACCACATATAGCTGTATGTTGGCCTAAAGACCTGACCACATACAGTGTTTCTTCCAGACTTTTTTCTCCGGGGGGGCACTTGAAATCTTCGGGGGGGCGGTAAACTTTCTTCGGGGGGGCTGACACTGTTAAAAGTATATATTTTCTATATAAATTATATAAATTTCATTTCGTTCGGGGGGGCGGTAAAAATTTTTCGGGGGGGCTTCGCCCCCCCGAAGAGATGCCTGGAAGAAACTCTGACCACATATAGCTGTATGTTGACCTAAAGACCCGACCACATATAGCTGTATGTTGGCCTAAAGACCTGACCACATATAGCTGTATGTTGGCCTAAAGACCTGAACACATATAGCTGTATGTTGACCTAAAGACTCGACCGCATATAGCTGTATGTTGGTCTAAAGACTCGACCACATATAGCTGTATGTTGGCCTAAAGAACTGACCACTGGCCTAAAGACCCGACCACATATAGCTGTATGTTGACCTAAAGACCCGACCATATATAGCTGTATGTTGACCTAAAGACTCGACTGCATATAGCTGTATGTTGACCTAAAGACCCAACAACATAAAACTGTATGTTGGTCTAAATACTCGACCACATATAGCTGTATGTTGGCCTAAAGAACAACACCAAGATCACAGTGTTATGAAATGTCAAACAGACCTTACTGTAACTATAGCAACTAGACCTTGCGCTACGTCTAACGCATGATACGACGAGTAATGTTCTTACCGTTGTCTGATGCTATCCAATGATATCGAAGAAAGCGGTTGGACGATAAAACTCTTGACCATAATACACATAAACCAACACAAGCTGGAGTCACTTCCTATTTGATACCCAGAATCCACTTGGCAAAAAAAAATGTCCACAGAAATAAGACAGTTATAACTTTGATGCTGTGCCCAACGTATCAGTCCCACGGTGTGGTAACTTATCCCACAGCTGATGTGAATCGCTCGGATTAAAAGGCAGCTTTGGTCGGCTCAGGTGCAGCGCGCGCTGTGTGCCCCATCAATCACTGCACAGGGCGGAGCCTAGCTGCAGAGCCTTCAGCCAATCCGATGGTGGGGAGGCTACCCAGACCTGACTGCGAGCATCGCGCGACAAGTCCCGCAACTCCAGCCAACAAGGGAAGATCACTCCTGCTCAAGTGTGCAACTCAACGGGGCGATAACTCGATCCACTGGAGCCCCGTAACAAAGTTTTATCTGGCGTCTTTCACTAGAAATATGGGGGAAGGGGAGGGTGGGGGTCAAGTGGGAAAACAGGGCGGGGTAAAGTCTGGTGTACCAGACCCAATTCAAACTAATGATTAACTGTGGTTGTTTAACTCTAACACACAAACAACCAAACAGTCATGAAGGTGAGACAGTCATGGAGGTGAGACGGTCATAGCGGTGAGACGGTCATGATTATAAGGTGAGACAGTCATGGAGATGAGACAGTCATAGAGGTGAGACAGTCATAGAGGTGAGACAGTCATGGAGGTGAGACAGTCATGGCGGTGAGACAGTCATAGAGGTGAGACGGTCATAGAGGTGAGACAGTCATAGAGGTGAGACAGTCATAGAGGTGAGACAGTCATAGAGGTGAGACAGTCGTAGAGGTGAGACAGTCATAGAGGCGAGACAGTCATAGAGGTGAGACAGTCGTAGACGTGAGATAGTCATGGAGGTGAGACAGTCATGGCGGTGAGACGGTCAGGATTATAAGGTGAGACAGTCATGGAGATGAGACAGTCATAGAGGTGAGACAGTCATAGAGGTGAGACAGTCATAGAGGTGAGACAGTCATAGAGGTGAGACAGTCATAGAGGTGAGACAGTCATAGAGGTGAGACAGTCATAGAGGTGAGACAGTCATGGAGGTGAGACGGTCATGATTATAAGGTGAGACAGTCATAGAGGTGAGACAGTCATAGAGGTGAGACAGTCATAGAGGTGAGAAAGTCATAGAGGTGAGACAGTCATGGAGGTGAGACGGTCATGATTATAAGGTGAGACAGTCATAGAGGTGAGACAGTCATGGAGATGAGACAGTCATAGAGGTGAGACAGTCATAGAGGTGAGACAGTTATAGAGGTGAGACAGTCATAGAGGTGAGACAGTCATGGAGGTGAGACAGTCATGGAGATGAGACAGTCATAGAGGTGAGACAGTAATAGAGGTGAGACAGTTATAGAGGTGAGACAGTCATAGAGGTGAGACAGTCATAGAGGTGAGACAGTCATAGAGGTGAGACACTTATAAGGTGAGACAGTCATAGAGGTGAGACAGTCATAGAGGTGAGACAGTCATAGAAGTGAGACACTTATAAAGGTGAGACTGTCATGAAGGTGAGACGGTCAAGAAGGTGAGACTGTCAAGAAGGTGAGACTGTCGTGAAGGTGAGACAGGCATGAAGGTGAGATATGCATGAAGGTGAGACGGTCATGAAGGTGAGACAGGCATGAAAGTGAGACAGTCATGAAGGTGAGACAGTCATGAAGGTGAGACAGGCATGAAGGTGAGACAGTCATTAAGGTGAGACAGGCATGAAGGTGAGACAGTCATGAGGGTGAGACAGTCATGAAGGTGAGACAGGCATGAAGGTGAGACAGGCATGAAGGTGAGACGGTCATGAAGGTGAGACTCTCATGAAGGTGAGACAGTCATTAAGTTGAGATTGTCTTGAATGTGAGACGGTCATGAAGGTGAGACACTCGTTAAGGTGAGACGGGCATGAAGGTGAGACTGTCATGAAGGTGAGACAGTTTTGAAGGTGAGACGGCCATGAAGGTGAGACTGTCATGAAGGTGAGACGGTCATGAAGGTGAGACGGTCATGAAGGTGAGACACTCATGAAGGTGAGACACTCATGAAGGTGAGACAGACATGAAGGTGAGACAGTCATGAAAGTGAGACACTCGTGAAGGTGAGACAGTCATGAAGGTGAGACAGGCATGAAGGTGAGACAGGCATGAAGGTGAGACGGTCCTGAAGGTGAGACAGTCATGAAGGTGAGACAGTCATGAAGGTGAGACAGTCATGAAGGTGAGACAGTCATGAAGGTGAGACACTCGTGAAGGTGAGGCGGTCATGAAGGTGAGACACTCATGAAGGTGAGACGGTCATGAAGGTGAGACACTCATGAAGGTGAGACACTCATGAAGGTGAGACAGACATGAAGGTGAGACAGTCATGAAAGTGAGACACTCGTGAAGGTGAGTCATGAAGGTGAGACAGGCATGAAGGTGAGACAGGCATGAAGGTGAGACGGTCCTGAAGGTGAGACAGTCATGAAGGTGAGACAGTCATGAAGGTGAGACAGTCATGAAGGTGAGACAGTCATGAAGGTGAGACACTCGTGAAGGTGAGGCGGTCATGAAGGTGAGACACTCATGAAAGTGAGACAGACATGAAGGTGAGACAGTCATGAAAGTGAGACACTCGTGAAGGTGAGACAGTCATGAAGGTGAGACAGGCATGAAGGTGAGACGGTCCTGAAGGTGAGACAGTCATGAAGGTGAGACAGTCATGAAGGTGAGACAGTCATGAAGGTGAGACAGTCATGAAGGTGAGACAGTCATGAAGGTGAGACAGTCATGAAGGTGAGACACTCGTGAAGGTGAGACAGTAATAAAAAGCTATCAGACAAGTTACAACACCTTGTATGAAAATGTAATTACAAAATAGACTGCCCCCCCCCCCCCCTCTCCCCCCACCCACTCTGTAATGGCACAAGTTTGTCATTAGAGCGAGACTATTTGAATCACGGAGCAAACAACAGGACCCCCCACCACAAACCACAGGCCCCCCCCCTTCCCCATGAAATACTGGATATTGAGGAACAAAAGCTGACCTCATAAAATAATCAATTGAGTCGAGCAGACGACAAAGTGGCGATTGCTGGCACAAAAATCAGAGAAATGGAAGTAGGTCACCAGCGACGGTTGACCCGGGGGGAAAGAGAAATTAGAACCACTTCCGGCATCTCAAACCTGGGCCATTTGTTGGCCTCAGACATCCTGGGCCATTTGTTGGCCTCAGACAACTGGGCCATTTGTTGGCCTCAGACAACTTGGGCCATTTGTTGGCCTCAGACAACTTGGGCCATTTGTTGGCCTCAGACAACTTGGGCCATTTGTTGGCTTCAGACAACTTGGGCCATTTGTTGGCCTCAGACAACTTGGGCCATTTGTTGGCCTCAGACAACTTGGGCCATTTGTTGGCTTCAGACAACTTGGGCCATTTGTTGGCTTCAGACAACTTGGGCCATTTGTTGGCCTCAGACAACTTGGGCCATTTGTTGGCTTCAGACAACTTGGGCCATTTGTTGGCTTCAGACAACTTGGGCCATTTGTTGGCTTCAGACAACTTGGGCCATTTGTTGGCTTCAGACAACTTGGGCCATTTGTTGGCCTCAGACACCCTGGGCCATTTGTTGGCCTCAGACATCCTGGGCCATTTGTTGGCCTCAGACATCCTGGGCCATTTGTTGGCCTCAGACATCCTGGGCCATTTGTTGGCCTCAGACATCCTGGGCCATTTGTTGGCCTCAGACAACTTGGGCCATTTGTTCAAAGTTGACCTAGACTAGACACATGTGTTGTACTGCTCCCTGTTGAGCTAGACTAGACACATGTGCTGTACTGCTCCCTGTTGACCTAGACTAGACACATGTGCTGTACTGCTCCCTGTTGAGCTAGACTAGACACATGTGCTGTACTGCTCCCTGTTGTCCTAGACGCATGTGATGTACTGCTCCCTGTTGACCTAGACTAGACACATGTGCTGTACTGCTCCCTGTTGACCTAGACGCATGTGTTGTACTGCTCCCTGTTGTCCTAGACTAGACACGTGTGATGTACTGCTCCCTACCCGCCTATCAGATGTAAACAAGAGATAAGGTTATGTCAGCCATGCGTGACTCAGTTCGTCAACAATCAGGGCGTGACCGGTCCAGGTCGATGTTCGTAAGCCAGCATCTAGGTCATCTCAGGACATTCGGTCATCTCAGGACATTGGGTCATCTCAGGACATTGGGTCATCTCAGGACATTCGGTCATCTCAGGACATTGGGTCATCTCAGGACATTGGGTCATCTCAGGACATTGGGTCATCTCGGGACATTCGGTCATCTCAGGACATTCGGTCTTCTCAGGACATTCGGTCATCTTAGGACATTGGGTCATCTCAGGACATTTGGTCATCTTAGGACATTGGGTCATCTCAGGACATTGGGTCATCTCAGGGCATTAGGTCATCTCAGGACATTCGGTCATCTCAGGACATTCGGTCATCTTAGGACATTGGGTCATCTCAGGACATTGGGTCATCTCAGGACATTCGGTCATCCCAGGACATTGGGTCATCTCAGGACATTCGGTCATCTCAGGACATTGGGTCATCTCAGGACATTGGGTCATCTCAGGGCAAATGACAACTTCTTATTAATAGAGTCCCCAAAACTGTCCACTGACTAACGCCGTCCAGCGAGTGGTCAACAAAAACATCAATAGCCAGGTAATTAATGACTATTACGTCATAATTAAGGAAGCAGTTGACATAGACATAGTAAACTAGCATTACCTGGTGTATGAAGTGGGAACCTGGGGTAGTAGTGGGAACCTGGGTACAGGTGGGAACCTGGGGTAGTAGTGGGAACCTGGGGTAGGAAGTGGGAACCTGGGTACAGGTGGGAACCTGGGTACAGGTGGGAACCTGGGTACAGGTGGGAACCTGGGTACAGGTGGGAACCTGGGGTACAGGTGGGAACCTGGGTACAGGTGGGAACCTGGGGTACAGGTGGGAACCTGGGTACAGGTGGGAACCTGGGTACAGGTGGGAACCTGGGTACAGGTGGGAACCTGGGGTACAGGTGGGAACCTGGGGTAGGAACTGGGAACCTGGGTACAGGTGGGAACCTGGGGTAGGAACTGGGAACCTGGGTACAGGTGGGAACCTGGGGTACA